GGAATAGCGAGGTGAGAGAGGTGAAGTGTAATAAATGTGACGGTGACATGAGATATAGATTTTTTATTTAGTTGCCCCAGCGGGCAACTGTCAGCGGCGCCGATGGCTGCAACCGCGATGGAATTCGCCGTGGCGGGCGAGGTTCGGGCAGCGCGATGACTTGGAGACGCCGGGATGTCCGCAGATGTAGCATCCCTCGGCGTCTCGGCGCGAGTGGCCCTCTCGGTGACCTTCCGGGTCGACGACGTTGGGGTTGGGGGTCCGGTTCGCGCTTCTCACGCGGCTCCGCTCTCTTCGCCCCAGGGGATGGGCGCTCCGTTGGCGACGATGCTCTGACCAGCACCCGTGACGCTGACTGATGTTAATCGTCACCGTGCTTCCCCCCGAGGAGTTGGCGTCCACGCTCACGCGGCCGTGATAGGCTGACTCGGGGGTAGCCGCGTCCTCGACGTCCTGGTCGGGCGTTGCCTGGGCTGTAGGCCTAGTAGCCCTGGGCCCTTGGGGGCGCTGGTCTTCCATGCTGGGCGCCCGGCGGAATTCCGGTGGCGGGGCGTCTTGTTCAGCGTGTGTCTGCGCTTCTTGCGCATCCTGCAGGTCATCCATGTCGTTTTCTAGTATTCCGACTCTGTGCTGGAGTGTCTCGATTTGGCTGACGATTTTGGCTTGTGCTGCGCACACTCCTTGCATCAGCTGCGTCGCTTCCCGAACCCTCTGGTTGTTTAGGGCCACGGACTTTTCCACAGCTCGGAGTTGCTTCAGCCAAACTCCTATTGCTTTTATAAACTCCCGTGAGACCTGCACTGGGTCTCCTCCGGTTGTCAGCAAATCGTCGGCCTCATCCATAGGTTGCTCTGGCCTTGGGGGCGATGTTGGTGCTTCGCCCGAGTGCATCGACTCCTCCAGAATCAGCCTCGTTAGCTGCATATCCATTTTTGATATGAGCATGTCATTGGTCAGCGGCCCTCTAATTATTCGCTGCTTTTACCCACTATCCTGATAAATTTTTCCTTCAATTATTTTATCTAGTCTCCGATTTTCAATTTCTAAAGTTCATCATAATTTTTTGATTTTATAAGTATTTTATTTGTAAGCTCTGGTAGAAAAACTCTAATGGATTTTTGGCGAAAAAATAATTATTCATGACATAAAATAATAAAATGCTAATGTTTTTTGATGAATCAATAATAATTTTAACAAAAGTTTCTTAAACATGATGTCTATTTGTAGGAAACTGGCGGATTAATAGTAAATCTTTACTGTTTTGAGAATACTTCTGCAATGTTTCATTAGTTTTTCATTAAGATTTAGTTCGGATAAACAGAATTCGTCACGAATAAATAACTCATCATCATGTCCCACCTCACATAGGAACATAATTTTGATGAATTTTGTAGACATTTCAAGAATTATTGTAGACAGGGAATTGTAATTTTGATGAAGTTTGATAAATTTACATGTAATTGAATGAATCAAGATAAACTTTTTCGTAAAAAATATTCAAATTTCTTCATCATTCATATTGAGTAATTATATTTCGAGTATAGCACAGACATCTCGCAAGAGTGTGAAATGTCGTTTGATGAAAATTCCTCAACGCTCATTATAATTTATCAGATTCAATAAGAATTTGTCTAAAAGAATATGATGAAATGGAAATTAATTTAACTATTTCATTTGAAATTTACTTGTTTTCATTGTATCATAATATATTGATAAATTCTAATTCTTACGGAAAGATAAGGAACATTTATGGTTTTCTTTGAAGTTTTCCCAATTCATTGAACTCATGAAAGTTTGTTAATTTTAAAGGTAAATTATAGTATAATTTACAAAATTTTTTCTATAACATATTGAACGCATTCTTTATTAATAAATAAATTAAATCTAAATTAACAATAGTAAATACGTATAACAAATTCAAACAAAAATTTAATTTGTCAAAGCTTTAGACTGTTTTTCAGACTGTTTCTTAGGCACATGACGAGCATATGTAATACTCTACCTATTGCAATAGTAGTCGATTCGATCAATCGATTCGTTCGCGATTCGGTAGCACTTGCGATGCTAGAGCGAACGTCTAAGAGAGAGAGGGGGCGCGCGAGAGTTCAAAGTTTCAGTTAAGTCTCAGCTGTTGCTTGTTAGGCCCCGGTCACATAGGTACATATGAATGCGGATGGATACGGACGCGAATCGCAACTCTAGTAACATCACTAAAAATATCTAGTTCGATTATTTAGTACTAACACTACCGGTAGTGAGCAAAAGTGACTGTTGTTTAAAACTGTAGCGCCAAACGTACCACATTTAATGTTCAAATGTCAGGTCTACAATTTACTTTTCAGATTTTCATGAATATTGCTTATTAATGAGTATGCTAATGTAAAAAAAGTTTTTGGGATGATTAATATTAGGTGTACAAATAAGTTTCCGCGGTTTTTTATAAAAAATTAGGAATTTATTGTGAAGGAAAAGTACATTACGTTTTATTCAAAGTATTTTCCATCATTTGCCACTACTTTTCCCTATCTTTCTGGCAACATTCGGATACCCCGTCGAAAAAACTCTTTATCTTTTGACGCTATCCACAAATCTACCCAATTTTTGGTGTCTTCATATGATGTGAAACGCTGCTCAGACAGACCATGTGCCATCGACCGGAACAGGTGATAATCAGAAGGGGCTAAGTCTGGTGAATATGGCGGGTGGGGTAAAACTTCCCAGTTGAATGTTTCCAAGTATGTTTTTACCGGCGCCGCAACATGTGGACGAGCATTATCGTGTAAAAGAATAATTTTGTCGTGTCTGGAGTAATAATGGGCGCGTTTTTCCTTAAGTGCCCAACTCTCATCTCATCAATTGTGTTCAGTAGAGAGCTCCAGTAATGGTTTCGCTTGGTTTCAGCAATTCATAATACACGACACCAAGCTGATCCCACCAAATACACAGCATGAGTTTTTTTCCATGAATATTCGGCTTAGCTGTCGATGTTGATGGTTCGCCGGGCTTAACCCATGACTTTCTCTTCTTTGGATTATCGTAGTGAATCCATTTTCGTCACCAGTGACTATACGATGCAAAAAACTCTTTTTTTTATTCCTGGCAAGCAGCATTTCACTCATGCATAATCGGCGTTCAACGTCTCTCGGCTTTAGTTCATATGGAACCCAATTTCCTTGTTTTTGAATCATTCCTAACGATTTTAAACGATGTGAAATTGCTTGTTGAGTCACTTGTAGAGTAAGTGCAAGTTCTTTTTGCGTTTGGGACGAATCTTACTCCAATAGTACTTCTAATTCCATGTCTTCGTACACTTTCGGCCTTCCACTGCGTTCTTTGTCCTTCACGTCAAACTCACCGTTCTTAAACTTTTGAAACCATTCCTGACAACTTCTCTCACTTAAAGCAGCTTCACCATATGCTTCTAGAAGCAATCAGCTGCAGATTTTTTCAAATTAAAGAAGTAAATCAAAAGTTCCCGCAAATGATGCTTATTCGGAATAAAACTTGACATTTTTGCACGAAAAAAATTACGTGATGCTGATACGGAATCACTAGTACTTTAAGGTTATGGTGTTGCCGGATGACAAAACTTGGGATATTACGTTTTACATCTGACAATTTCTCCATAACCTTCTGGTGGAGCCATCTTTTGACAAACCGCGGAAACTTATTTGTACACCTAATACATATCATTTATATATATTTTCTTCTTCTTCTCATAAATTTTTTCTCTATTTCTTTATTTTGACTTTATTTTCGTATTCTTAGACACAAAATGAAACTTTTTTCTCTTTAGCATTTTTTCCAAAACGTACACAAGTCGAAGTAATTGAGGATTGGAAAAAAAGGTTGCTTTTTACAAAAAACGCCGTAACTTGGTTAAAAAACTTCAATCGAGCGACCGTTAGGGAGTGAGGTTTCATTTGCTAAGTAAGGTACGTATTTTTGGGATTTCGTGTGTGTGTGCGTCTATTTGTTTTCGTATGTGTGTATGTTCGTGTGGGTGTCTTGGTGTCTCTGTTTGTGCCTGATATTGGTTCGCCCTGAATTTCAGTACTAATCATACGAATTTCATTTATTTATGACTTCAATGATTAGCGTCCCCCTATCCACCACCCGGGGAGGCGCCGGATGCGGGATCAGGTACCCGACACCGGAGTATATGCGCGTGTGTGTTTGTTTAGTTCGATTTTTTTGTGTTATACGTGATTATTTTTCTTTTTTTCTGATATCATGATCGATTGCTTTCCATATCGTTTTTTCTCTGGGTGGCCATATTTGTATATTCATTTTTTTTTTTTTTGTTTTTGAACCACTTACTAGTTTTCTTTTTTTTCTACGATTCTTTTGTGGTTACATATAAATTTTTTTTCTTGTTTTGTTGGCTGTTCCTTTTTTTTATTATTTTTTTTTTCTGGCCGTAATTGTATTTTTTTTTTCGCACTATTCATGTTTTATGAATTATCCATTGCAACGATTTTTTTTGTATTATTATTTTATTTGTTCCTTCTTTGATTCTTTTTTGTATGCATATACATTTTTTTTTCTTGCATGGTTGCCCGTTTTTTTTTTTTTTTATTTTGTTTTTTTTTGTCTTGCCTTGATTGTATATTCAATTTTTTTTTGCTCTATCCATGTTTTTCGAATTATTCATTGCATTGATTTTTTTATGTTTTTTTTTCTTGTTTTTTTTTTGATGCATTTTTTCAGCAATTTTGTTGACAGTTTTTTTTTGTATTCTCCCCATTTCTTTTTTAATTGTACATTTGCTTGAATTTTTTAATGCTCTCTAATTATCATTTTTTTTTCATTTGATGCATTTTTGGAGCTACTGTGTAAATTATTTTTTTTGGCAATCGATCATTGTTATTTATTCTAAATTGTGTAATCTTAATATTTATATAAATTATAATATTTCTTTGTATACGATATTTTTTGTATATATTATTTCTTTCGATTTTTTTTTACCCTTAATGTTGTTTGCATTTTTGTATATTGGATTATTTAATAATAATACCTTCAAGGTTTTCTTGCTTCTTGCCCTAGAAAGTGCAACATATAATTGACCATGACTGAAAACTGGAGTTGGTAGATATACCCCAACATTATCGTATGATTGTCCTTGTGATTTATTTATGGTCATTGCAAATCCCAATCTAATTGGGAACTGTCGTCGTTTCATGTTAAACGGTATGTCTTCTTTTGATGGTGATAAGCTTATTCTCGGTATGATTGCTGTTTTTCCAATATGTGTTCCAGATAAAATTTCCGCACTTATCGAATATTTTTGTAAAGCTTTCACTATCAATCTCGTGCCATTGCATAAACCTTCTGTTATATTTAAATTTCTCATTAATATAATGACTGCTCCAATTTTCAAGTATAATTTATATGGCGGAAGTCCATTTGGTGTTTTTTCGTTTAAAAATTCTGTTGGCAACATGACATCCAGATTCTCTCCATTATCGTCCTCTGCCGTGTCGACACTCAGATATTGTATCGATTTTCCTTCCATTTTATTTAATATTTCATTATTTATGTGCATTACGTCATTATTTGTTGGTGCTAATATAACTTTTTTGCTGATTGTTGTATCGTTATTTTTCAATTTGCTTCCAAATATTTCTTCCACTATGTCATTTCTTTTCGTGATCATTGTTTTTGGAATTTCTTGCAATTCATGTTCCTCTTCAAATTCATTTGACCGTTTGCCTTCACCAACTTGTAAAAGCCAATTTTTGAATTGTCTGTCGTCATCCGATACACGTACGTTTTCTGTTAATGCCATTCGTTTGAATGTTCTCCATACTTCACAGTTTTTTACTAAATTCTCAATTATTTCAGTACGACTACCGTGTCTAACGACGGGTAGGATTTGTCTGAAATCTCCTGATGCAATGATTATTTTTCCTCCAAATGGTAGGTCATTATTGCATATGTCCCTTAATGAACGATCTACAGCTTCGAATGCCATCTTCGATGTCATTGATATTTCATCCCAAATAATCACTTTGGCGTTGCGCATTATTTCTCCTTCTTTTGAGTTTGGTTTTATATTGCACACTGTTGTTTCAGTTATAGACAATGGCATTTTGAATGTTGTGTGTACTGTTTTTCCATTCTTCAATAAGTTTGCTGCTATTCCTGTCCATGCTACGCAAAGTAATTCATGTTTTTGTGTTTGTAAATAGTCAATTAAAATATTTAATAAATAACTTTTTCCAGATCCTCCTGGTCCATCTATAAATATGCAATTTTCTTTATTTTCATTTTTAATGGTGTTTATTATATAATTGAATATTTTGCTTTGCGCTTCGTTTAATGTACTTATTTTATTTTCTAATGTGTCATTGCTGCTTTCATTATTTTCTAATAGCATTTCTGTGAGATCATCATCAATTCTGTTGTCATAATCTGGTAGAGAATAATTATTTAAAGTGTATCCGTGTACTTGTAATATTTTGTCAATTTTTTTAGAGCTACATTTTCACCCATTTCATTTGTGTATTTCGGATGATAAAAATGTGTTTTATATTTTTCATATAATTCTCTTGCATTTGTTGGATTATGAAACACACATATTATTGCAAATAATTGACGTAAAGCATCTGGGAATTGTACTTTTGTTGCTTCTTCTAAGCATTTGTCCCATTCTTCGTCTTCGCCTATCAATTGTCTTGCTTTTGCAGCTTCAAAATATGTATTATGTAATATTCCATCAACTGTACGTAATTCTTCAAATGATCGTGGATCGCTCACATGTAATAATAATAATCTTATGTAATATCTTTCTCGGTCTTTAGGATTAACCAAATAAATCCTGCTGAGTATTGGTTTATTTGTTTTCTTTCTTGGTTTCTATGATTTTGATTTTTCGTCGAAAACGTAGTGTGACGGTATTTCGCTACATAAATATTTTCGCGATTCTTCATCTTTTTTATTCAATTCGAAATATGCCGTTAATGTTGTCCCCTTACTCTTTACAAGTTCTTCTTCTCCTTCCTTGAAATATACATCTTGCTGTCCATCCTCGTGGATTGCCAATCTTATTATTGCATGTGACATTTTGTAAATATCATATTTGAATAATCGCCACATTGCCTCCGGTGGACATAAATATCTTGTATTCAAATATTGTTTCACCTCGTCGTGATTGTAAATTTCGTCCTCTACATTTTCATTGTCGTTGGTGTTATTTCCCTTTTTGAATTTTATTCCCGCGTGTTTCAGTTCTATGTACGCACAATCGTGTCCTTTGTAAATGTACTTAAATAAATATTTTATACATTGAACAGTTGAGCATACTTCTACGTTTATGTGTGCGTTAAATTTTTTCAATAAATATGGATTGTATGGTACAACAAATCGATTATCCGCTAATCTACTAGATTTTTCTCCTCCAAATCTGATTTTAACGCCGTCATTTCTTCGACGATAAATTGGATATCCATTCGCTTTGACCCCTGTTACGTCTGTGTATTGTTTTGGAAAATCCTTTGTACATTTCTTTGTCTCCGTGTTCATGCATGGACTGTTTTTATTGCTTGCGCCACATGGGCCATGTATCATAAATTGTTTAACTATGTCATATGAATTGGGGGTACCAATCTTTATTTGGAATTTCTGCACTTATTAATTCGTCTATCTTTTCTGGGGTGTCTAATTTATGCTCTCCATCTAAGAACAGTAACATATGCATGTGTGGTAGTCCTCGTTTTTGAAATTCAATCACTGATGTATGAGCAATATGTTTTCCAAGACAATTTTTCTTTATTACTAAATCCCTAAATTCTTCAACTTTGGCATGAAATACTCTCGCCACTAAATCTGGTCTATCCAATGCTGTTTCATATGGTTCCAAGTGATCTGTTATTTCTTTCCATTTTCGGTTACATGTCATCGTAATAAATAAATCTGGTTTCCCATAGTGACTGACTAAGACCATAGAGTCCAAAAAATTTTGTTTTAAATATCTCGGCCCGCCAGTAAAACTAGATGGCAATATAAACATTTTTCCTATTTTAACATTTTCATCTTTTTCCTTTGTCTCTAAATAATCCATTAATCCTCTATAACAATCTGTTCTTAAGGTGTCTTGTTGTTTTTTAAAAAAATATAATCTTGAACTTTCTACTTTGGCGAATGCGTCAACTGCGGCCTGCTGTGAAACTTTCCCAAGATTTAAATATGGATTAAAACCATTTCTGCAACTTATACGGTAGTTGTAGAATTGTAAATGTGAAATTTTATTTGTTCCAATTTTCTTTTTCATTTTTGGCATCCAACCGTATCCGCCATGTGGATAAATTAATGGATACGTCATAGGATCTGTGTGTTTGCTGATATTTGGTAGACTCATGGGACGATCATGCCGTGCATGTACTACAATGTCACGTTCTGCTGGAGGTAATCCGTTTTCTCCGACGAATACCATTGCCACTTCATTGCATGTTGATGGGTTATATGTATTTTTGTCTAAATGTACTTGTCGCGTTATGGCCATCGTAACTTGTCGTGGTGTTACACCTTGTTCTTTGCATCTCTGTATTTCTTCCTGTTCCACTTCATGCATCATTTTATATGCTTTAGCATATGGATTGTTTTTTCGTATAATTTCATCTAACGTTTTTAACATTTCATGATTTATTTCATCTTTCTTTGCAGTCTGCGTTCGTTCATTCGTTGCCATTTCATTGTCTAAAATGTATAATTGACCATATTTTCTAGCTTCATCTTCATTCGGATGTAATGCATATACATTATGATATACTTGGCCGCAAATTCGTATGACCCGTGGTCCTCTACCTGGCAATCTGTCAAAGTTCGCTCCAAAACTTGCGAATGCTAATGCATTATTATATAATCGTATGTTTTTTCTGAATTCTCCGCTATCTTGTGTATTACCAGTAGCGAGGTCTTTTAATAATTTTGGATAAGGGGGGTTATCTTGCATTTTTATTTTACCTTTGTCACAGCAGCTGGTAAATTTACCATTTGTGTCTTTTTCATTTTGAAAATGTAATGCATCGCAGTTGCTACATTTGTATGTCATATTTCCTATGTTGTTCTCATCAATAAGACTTTCATCAAATTGAATATTTGCTATCCTTCCTATTATGTTTGATGTATTTAATAATTTTAATTTGTCGTCTTCGCACGTTTTTCGTCTTCGTTTGTTTTTTACGTAATTTTGTTCTTGGTCTAATGAATTTACTCGATTGATTTTGATTTCGTTTAGCATCTTTCCTGAATTTGGCATTCCATGATTTTCAAGCAAGTATTCGTCTAATTTTCTCTTATTTCTATGATTGTTTTCATTTACTTCAGATTTATATTCGTTGATTGATTTTTTTGCGTTTTTTTGTTGGGTATTTGGGTTGTCACTCCTTTCATCAACCACACTCATATTTGGGAAATGTTTTATCACATTGTTAATTTTCTTATTTTTTCTATAACGTTTCATTGCTGTTTTTACTTGCTGTAGTCTTTTTTCTCGTTGTTCCTGATTGTTTTTTTCTAGCTGTTTTTCATTTTTGTTTTTTTTTCGTTGATAATATTCTTTTTGCCGTTTTCTTCTCTTGACATCTCTTTCTGTAATTGATCCACCAACATTCCTTGTCTTTTTCTCAGTCCTTCCGCCACAATTTTTGCCGTTTATAGTCGTCATCATTTCGGAATTTGGCAATACTTCATCATCTATCTCCATTATCTCAATCGATCGATCTATGTCTTGCATGATTTTATCCGTGTTTTTGCTTTACTCATTATTCTGTTTGTAGGAGTTCATCAAACATTGTTGTTCCTGTTGATAGGCATCTTGTGACTTCTTTATTAGTAATTCGATTTCTTCGATGCTAATGATAATATTTTTGGGATTGATTCTAAACCTGTGACCATAATTATTGGGCATTTGCTCAGAATAGAATGTATTATTTGCGTCGTAAATTTGTTTTATCGGAAACATATTCATTGTCTGTGTCTCATATATGCCCAGTAAATGTGCCCGCATCTTTCCAATGTCATATTCAACTTGACACGGACATACTCCTTTAATAGCAGATATTGCATTTGCAATTGAAAATATCCCGCAGTCATAAACTTTGGTTTGTGATTGTACTGATTCAAATACAATTTTGCATTGTGTAAGATATGGGAACAATTTGCTTATATAAATTTTATGATCATTTTGTAAAAATTGTGCATTCATACTGTCGTAAATATGAATTGTTGTCCCTCGTTTATGTAATGTAATCCAGTGTCCCGATTTCTTGCTGCCCGAAAATAATATCTGAACATAATCAATTTCAATTGGGACTAAGCTTATTATTTCTGGTCTTTGCAGTAAGAGAGTTGATTGCATATTGTACGTTGAATGTGATTGTAAAATTTTATTAAATTCATCGATATGTGTGTCAATTAACATTGAATTTTCATTTAAATATGAACTTTTTCCTTCTACAATCAACTTCTCTTCCGCTGTTAATCGCATCATGTTATAATTCTTTTTAATCCCTTATATCTCCGTAGTTGCTGAAATTAGAATGCACAGTAATAATATCATTTTAATTATATCATTGTAATTTCATATAAAATTATATATTGTATAAAATAAGTGATTACTATTTATGTACTGGAAATTAGAAATTACTACTTAATATTACAATCAACTATTGATGCTATAAGGAAAAGTGTTTTTTTGTGCTCCATTTTTGGATATTAAAGTATTTTTAATAATGAATACTTGCTTTCGAAAATGCTGATCTGCTAAATATTTTTTAGACAAATATTTATCCGTCAATTGCGATCGTTCGATCTGTCAAAATGGGTATTACGAAATAGATTTTACATTTAGGAATGAATTTAATCATTCGAATTTTCATCATTTGATAGTACAAACATAATAGTATTTGTGTGGCGCTGCTGGAGCACCGGAAACATTTCAAAACTGCATAAAGTCCCATATTATGTATACTCCATTATTGGGTACTCCTATCTTTTATTATGCGTAATGAATATTCAATTTTTAATGAGTTGTGCATACCGTAACACACGTTGCGAAATAAATGTTTTTGCGGCTTTTATTATTAGATCGAATTATGTTATTATATCACGAATCAATCGTTCTTTAGTCACTTTAATTAAACTTATCGATCTATCTATATGTTAATTTGAATTTACCAATTTTTTTCGTAGACATATGCGTAACCTAAATCATGCTAATGGGAATTAAAAGATGGAGTGATTAATCATCATAATCATTAGAAGTTTTTTTTCCAATAATAGAATATTGCTGTCTTATAAAAGAATTCATTTAATAAGCATATGATAGTAAATCTTTCTACCAAATCTCAAGACATTTTCTAGCTAACAATACACCATGCAAGATTTATTTAAGAAATTTAAATTGATTGCATTTTGTCTTTTCCTAAAAGAAATGATTGTAAGCATTGACAGTTGTGTAATTTGTTATGATGATTTTTCTTTTATGTTACATATTTTAAAGTATCAAATCATTAATTTTACTACAAATAACAAATCGGGTTTAATATTAGTGCCTACCGTATAATACGTGTCGAGACAGAAATTGTTGTATAGTGTATATCAATAAATTGTATTAGATTATTATATCTACAATTCAATCATTATTAGTCACTTTCATTAAACTTATTGTGCTATGCATATTTTAATTGAAATTGACAATTTTTTTAGTAGACACATGAGTAACCTGAATTATGCTGATGGAGTATTGAAAGGTGGAGTGTTTAATTATCATATTCATCACGTAAATAATTTTTATCAGTTATATTTTTGACGTAGTCTTATAAATTTTTTTTTTAAATTCTCTTACGTTGTGAAAGCATTAGTGAATATATTTTTATCTAAAATTTATAATGGGAAATTTATATTTATTTTTAATTTATTTCATTAGTAAACTTTTTTAATAATATACTATTGCTATCCAATAAAAAAATTACAATAAAGTTTTTCCACAAAATCTCAAGATACATTCCAGCTAACGATAGGCTGTACAAAATATAGTAAACAAGTTTTTATTGATTGTACATTGTCGTTTTCTAAAAGAAATGATTGTGGGCATCATGATGTTTTTTCATTTTGTTTACATATTTTAAAGGATTGAAGCATTAATGTTGCTACAAGATAAACATTGGATTTACTATTGGATTTACTATTGGATTTACTATTTCATTTGTAAACTTTTTTAATAATATACTATTGCTAATTTTGATGTGTGTTTAGGATCATTATCTTGTTGAAATTCAAATCCAGGTCCTACTATCCGCGTTCCTGATGTCACTGCATGCCTTTGTAAAATCTGTTTGTAACTTTCCTTTTTTAATATCCCATCTATTTTCACAAGATCGCCTACTTTTGAACCAGCAAAACATCCCCATACCATAACTGACCCACCACCATGCTTCACACTTGGAACTAAACAATCGTCAATGTATTTTTCATCAGACCGTCTTCTTACATACGCCCTTCTCTTACTTCCAAAAATTTCGAATTTCGACTCGTCTGACCAAAGAACTTTCTTTCAATCCGAAGCGACCAATTTCTATGTTTTCGAGCCCACTGTAAACGTTTTTTTTGGTTCGCACTGCGTAAAAGAGGCTTTCGCACTGCAACTCGACCAAAGAGTCCTTTTTCGTTTAAACGTATTTCACCGTACTAACACTTATAGGTTCTTTCAAATATTTGTTTACATGAGCGGTTATTTCAGGAGCAGTGGTTTTTCGACTTCGCAAACTTACTTTATAAATGTAGTCGTCTTCTTTGGCGGAAGTTTTCCTTTTTGGCTCGCGTCGTCTGTTATCTACACTACCAGTTTCACAGTATTTTATGATATTATAAGCAACTGTACGCCGATCTATTTTCAAATGTCTGGAAATTGCATGACGACTCATTTGAAGTTCATGAAGTCCGATAATCTTATTACGGTCCTGGATAGATAAATTCTTTGATTTAGGCATTGTCACTACACATCAAACAAACAGATGTTGACACTTCAAACGTTAATTATCGACTAGTCCGCTTATAATCAGAGAGACAGAAATATTCAAGAAGGTACTACATTTGATCCGATGAGCGTTGAAATGCCAGCTTATTTGTAAACACTTGAGTATGATTATGATTGTGAAAAGTGAAAACAGTGAAAAAAATGTTTTTCGAAAAAAAATTTGAGAAAATTTCACAGTATTCTACATTGAAAAAGGAACATTTTCTTTCATACAAACTTTTTTCTACGATTCGATTTTACCGAGGTATGATAATTTGAAAAAGAAGGTCAATTTTCGAGAAAAATGCTTAAGCGCGGGTCATGTTTGAAGTAAATAATTTTTAAATGAGTGATTTAGATAGGGTTTGGAAAGACAAAGAAAATGCTGTGCTCAAAATTTTCCTACGATGTTTTCCCCCGAAATGGCACGAGATCAAAAAAGTACTAACAAATTCGGAATTTCTATCGATGAAAAATAGTTTGAAAATATTAGAAAAACCATTTGATTGTAGTTGTGATGCATATCATTTGAAAGCTCTTGGAAAGAGCTTTCACATGAGCTGCCGCTGGTCTCTGTACGTTACTTTCTACGGAACAGGAAAAACTTTAAAGTTTCAACAATTTTGGTCGGAGGGGGGTAAAAGTGCGTAAGCGGCACTGTACAAGTAAATAAACATACAATATTTCAAGAATAACGAACGATTACGATGGACATATTATTTGAAATCAACTTCGTTTTTTTCCTACAACTGCAATTATAACGTTATGAATCATCTCTAATGAATTTTCTTGCTCTGTTTTTTTCTAAAATCTACATCATTATTTAGAACAGAATGCAATCATATTCAGGGTAGATTAAAAACATTGTAAGAAGTTGTTGAGAGCTGACTCAAAATTAAAACTACATAACAATAAGAAAAAGCAAACATATACAGGGTGGCCCATTTTAAGTGATCCACTCAGATATCTAGATTGGAGTGAGTTTTATCGAAAAAAGTTTCAGACAAAAGTTACTCAACTTTGAAGGGGCCATGTTTCTATGACCTTGGATTTGACCTTGGAGGTCATGTTCAAGGTCATTTCAAGGTCAACTTTGTTTTTTTAAATAGGAACCCCCATTTTTGACCCCGGATTCGGAAAGAGCGGGAAATTTTACGTCCAAAACGGTATTTTTAAATTTTTTTTCATGGCCTAGAGAAGGTCGATTTAAGGTCAAATGCTTGAAAAACTGCCTAAAAGCGTTTTTTTAATTTTTAAGATATCGAAAAATGACCTCTACAAAATTTGTTCAGAATAGAGTGGGCCACCCAATGCACCAAAAACCTTTGACCTTTAACCTCATTTTGAAGGTCATTTCAAGGTCGAAGTGTTTTTTGTAATGGAAATCCCTCTTTTTAACCCCGGATACGCACATAGCGCGAAATCCGACGTTTGGATAAGGTATTGTGTTGAGTTTCGCGCTATGTGCGAATCCGGGGTCAAAAAGAGGGATTTCCATTACAAAAAACACTTCGACCTTGAAATGACCTTCAAAATGAGGTTAAAGGTCAAAGGTTTTTGGTGCATTGGGTGGCCCACTCTATTCTGAACAAATTTTGTAGAGGTCATTTTTCGATATCTTAAAAATTAAAAAAACGCTTTTAGGCAGTTTTTCAAGCATTTGACCTTAAATCGACCTTCTCTAGGCC